CTTTCCTGAACCAAATACTTGTTTTCTGGGTCTACAGTAGTTGAGAGTGTCATTCTAGAACCCATTTCCGAGTATACTGCTTGTTCTATAGTCCAGGTTCTGTCATCTTTGAGCTGTGAAACCTTGAACATAATACTTATCCCCTCTGAGGTTCAGTTTCTCATCTATAAAATGTGGATTTTAAAAAAACAGATCAACATCATAGGTTGATATTGGGATTAAATGAGATAATATATAGAAAATATTTAGGACAACACCTAGCATAATTACTAGGTGCTCAGTGAATGCTAGCTAAGTCTAGGTGCAAGTAGAAACACAGCTCTGCCCTTGAACCTCAGAGCTGACAAAGTAGGATAAACTAACCAGGGACTGAAATTTTCTTAATAAAGTCTCACTTTGCTTTTCTCTGTACTTGTAAGAGGAACTGCATTTAGTTTCTCCAAAACAGTTGATTTGATCTGGCCCATTTGGTAAGGAATGTCTGACAAAAGTGCACTGTCTGATTCAGATGTAGTGATTGCTGCTGTAGAAATTGGCTTTAGAATCTTCAGGGACTTCTGCAGTTGAACTGAGAAGACATCCTCATCAAGTACAGTGCTTCTAACACTTCTGGGTACTTTAGATTCTCAGCTACTCCTGTTTCTTGAAGAGCTTCTTTGTTTTTCAGAAAACTCTCAAAGGAGATTAATACCCCACCCCATGGAGTTTTACTGCAGACTTTCAGTGTCAATATTTTGTTCCTTGTGTCCTGTTTTTCTTGCCTCATCCTAATAACAGTGGTGACAATGTGAGATTCTGCTTGTCAGAGGACTTCTTTTTCCTTTTCTTTGGTGCATGTGGGAAGGATCTGGCCTCATGTTATCACTGAAAGGCAGTGTGGTACAGACAGAGCTTCACACTTTGTCATTTACCAGCTCTGCAGCAATAGGAAAGTCACAATGCTTCTCTGTGTCCCCACTTTCTTAACTTTAAAACAAGGAAGTGAGACCCAACATCTCAAAGGCTCTTCCATCTTTAAAACTTTGTCATCTTAGGAAACAATTATCCAAAGTGAAATGCCCATCCTCTTATCATATGTGGGGTTTTATTCATGTGCGATGCTTGGCGCTGCTTTCATGTTCCTGGCATCATCAGTGAGCAAAGCAAATGCTTGACTGCTTCCTATGTCTGTCAAATAGTACATATTTTATAGCCATGTATTCTGCTTTGAAGCTGTTTTCTCCTCTTTCTGCACTTTTGCCTGTTTGAAGAAGGTGGTTATGCTGTCATACAGTTTTAGAGTCCGTCTCCATTCCCGCTTGTCCACTCATTTGTAGTAATGCAAGGCCCAGGCCTCTGTTGATTCTTCCTTGCACGGATTCCATTACCCATTCATATTCACTCACTGAAAGAGGCTTGCTCACAGAATGCTGCTGGGCAAATAGTATGACGGTCTTAGTAATTTGAAAACTTCCGGCAGTATGTGTTTTCCATTATTGACAATGGTGTTTCAGAAGGATATATGGCTCTGGCAAGAGTTTGGTCAATTTGTTCCTGCTCTTCAGGTGTCACCTGTGTGCTAATGAAGCCATTGAGAGTGTTTTGTATGCAGTAGCTTATACCTTTGTTGGCTCAGGGGTCCTGAACAGGCACTTCTTGGTGGTGATACTAATGTTACAGAATCCAGGAGAGTAGAATCACAGCTCTGTGCAGAACATCAGGAAGCTTTCTATGCTTTTTCCTCATTGTGGATCTCTTACCTCACACTTAGAAAATATTTGAATAGCACTTCCCAGATTCGGTTGTTTTTTTAAATAGAATTTAGAAATGTGTCTCTCTATCAACAGTTCTGTGGCTGGAAGCTGGATCATTTGCAAGAGGAAAATCCAGTGGAAATAAACATTGCATAGAGGTGCTTCCAGGTAGCTGGAAACACCTTTCTGGTTATCCCATATTTCCTCTTCTCTCCTGAAGCTAGGTAAGGTATTGTGTGACACAACCTTAGAGTACAAGGAATTTGTGTGTAACAAGCTGTGAGAACCATGCAGCTGAAAATCAAAATTCAGATGCATTTAAATTCCATTTAATAAATTTAATAAATTCCATTTAATTCAGATGCATTTAATAAATTAAATTTATTGAGAAGAAGCGTCCTTCTTTTCCTGCCTGTTTTGTGGCCATTAGGATCACAAGATCAAGAATTGGTCTTCTATATTCTTGTAATTCAAAACCTCTGAAAGTGAAGTTGCTCAGTCCTCTCTGACTCTTTGCGACCCCTTGGACTGTAGCCTACCAGGCTCCTCCGTCCATGGGATTTTCCAGGCAAGAGTTCTGGAGTGGGTTGCCATTTCCTTCTCTAGGGGTATCTTCCTGACTCAAGGATTGAACCCGGGTCTCCTGCATTGTAGGCAGATGCTTTTACCGTCTGAGCCACCAAAGCCTCCACATCCTCCCTAACTCTCCTCTGTCTTGGGACTTTTTTGACCACAAAATGCCATATCACTCATCTCCCTAGGAATTGATAGATGTTGCTGACTTGTCCACTTCCGGTCCTCTCCACTGAGAGATAATCAAGAGGGCCATACATTTAGTTGACAATAGAAGTCAATGAAAGAAAACCCACAACAAAGCAAACATAGATTCTTCTATCTCTCTGGGAGTCCAAAGTGATCTGTTTGACAGTTCTACTCTTCAGTTTTGAAATGTTAGAGATTAGCTATGTTAGATAGGTAGAAAGACTGTCATTCCATGGCATGATAAAGCTGACTCACAGCATATGAGTCCCTCACTTTCATCATCCTATATAAATTTTTCATCATCTTATAAAAATTCATAATCCATTATTCAAACTATTTGTACAGAAAAAGCAGATTTAAAATTTACATTTTGCTCAGCTTTTCCTCTCCAAAGGACAGCAACGTATGAAACAGACAACAATATAATCCACCTGGAATTAAGGCCATTAATTAAGTCTATTAAATCCAATAGACTGATAGAGAATTAATCAGTAAATTTTTATTGAGCATCTACCATATTTTCAAGCAAGATAGAGCAGAAACAGGGCCTGCCCTTGGTTTCATTATGATCTGTTTGAGGAAGCAAACAATAGGGCCGATGCTTCGTCAGCTATAGTGACTGGTAAACCATGGAGGACAGAAACTATAGAAAAGTTTAGAAGAGAGAAACTTCTCTGATAGGTAGAACAGTAGGGGTTTTAAGGCTTGAGCTGGAAGGAGAGGGAAATGATAGTAAGAAGAAAATAACATGGCAAAAGCAGAGATTTCACAGCACCCAAGCCAGTGACAGCAGTCAAATTAAACCAGGAGGAGTGAGAATCAGAGCTGAGAAAGCTGAGTGGGAAGAGTACCAGAGAGGCTTTGAAAGTCTGGTAGACTTTAGACTGCCAGAGAGTCAAACTATAGACTACAGAGAATCTGCAGTGGTTTTGCCAGGGGAGTGATGTGATGAAAGCAATGTTTCATGAGGGCTAACCAAGCAGCCACACGTGGGATGGACTGAAGAAGAATGTGGAGGCAGGGAACACAAGTGGAGGAAATGGAAACAGGATGGATGTAATAGACATTGCTAAGGAAAACTGACGGCGCTTAGTGACGGACTTCAGATGGTGAGGGGGGTGGGAGCTACGTCAAGAACAACTCCAGAGGTTTTGGTCTGATGGTCTTCAAGTGCGTCAGTAGAACTGACTATGGGGAAAATGATCACTTTTGAGGTGACAGTGGGACAGCTAATGAAAAGGTTCACAGGTAGCTGGGAATGCAAAGGCCTGAGCTGTGTCTCTGTCTACTTAGGGAAGGATGAATCACTCAGATGTGTTAAGGTAGCAGTAAGGAAACACACATTTCAGGGAAGTTGGGGGTGAGGTCAACTTTAAGGGGAGAGTGTCGAGGAGAGAGAGAGAAGCGCTTTGGAATAGCCATCAGGAGGATGAGGTCTAGCGCCATGGATGAGAAGAAAGTGGGCCAGAGATGCATAGTTCTGTGACTTCTTCCAGTCACACCTCTTCCCACGGTTGGACAGAGGCAGTGGAATGGAAGAGAGGCACTGGTTGAAGAGGAGACTAAGGGGAATACAGAGAGGAGAGATGGGACCTGGGACCCAGGAGAGGATGAATGAGTCTCTAGGGCATGAAAGTATGGGAGAGGGCAAATTATTGTTAGAGACTGGAGCATGCTAAATTGCAAAGGAGGCAGTAACCGCTTCGTGGCAATGGAGGGGGTCTGCAAGGAAGGAAAGCCATTTAGGGACAGCTGTGTTCCAGAGATATCTGTGGACTCTGGGTATCTCCCTCAGACTGGCATGCTTCGCCTTCACTCCAGGACAATAGGAAAGTCCTTCCTCCCACTCTCCAGACTCTTAACAACAGACACCTCAGGGACAGAAGTCCAGCAGCTAGTGGGCCGAGCAGACTTTGCTCACTGAAACTTGGTCTAATCCACTTGTACTGCTGGCTCAAAGCTCCTGATTTCCTTCGGAGATGGTTTTCTATCATTTAAATGTCATAAACAGTAACAGGAAAATAGCCCACTGGCCAGCCCCTGCTCTTCACACCCGCCAGGCCCAGCACCTGCAGCTTCACTTGGAGAGGACAAGGAATAACCATGTGCACCAGAGAGGGAAGAGCTGAGCAAGATGATAGAGGTCCTTTTTTCTACTGGAGAGATACAACTGAGTATCTCACTGGGAAGGAGGAGTAAAGCCAGGTCATCTCCCTCCCTTCTCCATCTGGGTTTGGGCTAGAAAGAGACACAAGCAAAGGCAAACACGCACACATGCACAGAGACACACAAAGGGCTACATGAGCCGAGGTGCATACACATAACCGATCATGGGACATTTAGGTGACAAGCTCGATACACATAAGGGCCCACCTGGACCTTCTCATTCAGCTCCACTCCCACGTGTCTGCACGCAATAGTTTCTTTTCCACAGAGTACCCTAGTGTGAGCAGAGGCAGGCCCCTCTCTTCCAGGCCTCACCCCTTCCCCTTTGTGTTTTTCCAGGTCGTGACATGGCGAGCACCACTCTGCCTGGTTACCCCCCTCACGTGCCCCCCACTGGCCAGGGAAGCTACCCCACCTCTACCCTGGCAGGAATGGTGCCTGGTATGTGACGCAGCTGCAGCTGCCTAATTTAGGTGGGGGTAGCTAAACTGTGGGTGAGCTGCTGCATGGTCTGTAGCCTGAGACTGGGGGTGGGGGGAGACCCAATATCTCCTCCCCCTCAAACTACTGCTGTTCTATCCCTCTGTCTCCCTAGAGGCTGCAGCGGGGATCCCTCACCCTCCCTCTTGAGCACCCCACGGAGGGAGCCTGCAGAAGTACCCGCTGTGTGCACTCTCCTGTATGTCCTGGCCCCTCTGCAGTGCCCACCCATCCCAGCCTGTGCCCGGGGAGCACCCGGTCTCAGCTCCACCCTCAGTGCCCTAGCCCACCCCCAGCCAGCTGACACTGCTCGGAAGAGCCTGCCCTGGTTTCCATGGAAACTTGGAGCCAAGAACCATTTCCAGGGGCATGTCAGTCACTCAGACAAAGCCACCCTGGTCCACACCAACCCACTGGGAAGACCAGGAGTCGACCCCACCCCAGGGAGAGAAGGGAGTCAGTCCCTAAGGAAAGAGGAACAGAAGACAGACTGTGGCAGGAACCAGAGAGGCTGGCTTCAGAGAGACAACCTAGAGCACCCCCATGTCTCAGAGGAGCCCTGGGCCTTCACTGCTTCTGGGGGCTCTGACCTGTCCCCCTCTGAGAGGAGCTGGGTTTGGGCTGTGTGGATCAGAGAGAAAGGGGCCATATACAGGATCTGGTAACTACACCTGGAGGCTGTGCTTTCCCCAACTCCTCACCCCAGATTGGGAGCTGGGCTTGAAGCCAGAGAGAGAGTTGAAGCTCCTATTCACATCAACACCAAAAAACTCTTGTCTTAAAGAGGATGAGAGTCACTGGGCCTGCATCCTGTCCTGCTGGGTGTCCTCTGTGTGCCCGTTCCCTGAAGCTCAGCTCTCATGGAAGGCGGGGGGAATAGAATAGGGTGACTGGCCTCATTCCTGGATGGGCCATTCAGGGACAATCCTTGGTCAGCAGAGCTAGGGGAGGGGGATTGCAGAGGGGGAGATTGCTGCCTGGTGTTGCAGAACAGGGGGCTGGAGGAACTGAGTAAAGAGAGTTGAGGGTATGAGTAGGGGGATTCCTGCCCAGATTTAGACTAGAGGGAACTGGAGTGTTGGGTGCAAGGAGATTCTTCTGGGAAGGTCCCACACGAGAGCAGGTGGAGGCTGGAGAAGGTCTCAGAGAGATGGGGGTGCAGGAGGGGGGAGTCTGCAAGGAGATGGGGGTGAGGGGAACCGCAGAGAGCTCACGGTGGCAAGGGGGGAGTCGTTAAACAGAATCTAGTGCTGATGAGGAAATTACACTTGTTTCATTAGCGATGGGGAAGGAGATAGCTCAGTTCCTCTTGGTCACAGTTGAGCTCAGAAGCTCATTATCCTGCTGCACGCATGCTTTCCCTCCTCGTCAATAAACAGGCTTTCCAGTGGCTGCATCCCCCACCCCCACCCCAGCTCCCTCTCTGAGAGGGGCCCCTTCTCCTCTACTTAACCCGCGGTTAGGGATCACTGTAAACAGTCTGGGGTCATCACACAGGAGAAAGGGCGAGGGGGAAACCCGGGGGTCTGGCCTTTCTCGCGCGGAGGGAGGGAAGCAGCTTCCGACGGCTTCCAGCCCACGGGGCCCTCCGTTCACCGCTTGCGAACCCGCAGGCAGTCCACCTGCCTCCTCCCGCCGCCTCCTTCCCCTGCTGCGTGGCCCACGTATCAAATCTCTAGAGGGAAAGGAGGGAGAGGAGTGTTTCCCAGCAGAGCCCCCACCCCTCGCATTGGCACCGTGCTGAGATGCCATTCCCAGGACTTTCTGGGACAAAGTGTCCCGAGGGCCTGTTTTCGCTATCCTCCCCCGCTTCCATCCTGTGGGGCTGTGGCTGCTAGAACCAGAGTCTCCACTAAAAAGGCTTTGGTCCCCAACACAGGGCGTAGGTGCCCCTGGACTCAGAACAAACCCTTCCTGGCGACTCGGAGCGCTTCCGAGGGAGCGCCCCAAAACTACCTCCGCGCCTCTGTGCGAGGCGCGTCGGTGCTTCTGCACACACACACACACACACACACACACACACACACCACCACCACCACCACCACGGGCTCTCCCCCTGTGGACCAGGTGGATTGTTCTGTCTCCGCCCGGCCGCCTGACCGAAGCATCTGCACCTCGGACCCGGGGGAGGCCTGTGGCCGGGCACGTCGGGTCCTCCCTGGCCTTGCGCGTGTCTGATCCCCACTCCCCCGCCCTCCCGCAGGGAGCGAGTTCTCCGGCAACCCGTACAGCCACCCCCAGTACACGGCCTACAACGAGGCTTGGAGATTCAGCAACCCGGCCTTACTAAGTGAGTACCGCCACCTGGCTGGCCGGCGGCTCAGCGCGTACGTCCGCACGCCCGCCAGCTCGGCCGTGCGGCTTCCGGACGCGGGTTCGACAGCCCGCCACCGGACCTTTGGGTGCCCAGCGGGGCAGGCTTGTTAGCGCAGCTTTGAGGCCCCGGGATCCCTAGAGGACGCCCGCGCCTCCCGCCCCTCCCTCGGCTCCGCTCTGTTCGCGGCGGCTGCAAGACTCTGCGCCGCCCCACCCTGGGCCCCCTTCGAAGTGCGCTGTCGGGCAGCGGCGGTCACCGATCGGGTCCCTCTCCCACCCGGTGAATGCAGTTCTCCTGGGGGCAACCGGCCCCGCAGATCAGCCAAGGCCTCCCTGCACGGATCCTGCTAGACCCCAGCACGAGGAGGTCTCTGCTTTGCTTTTCTTTCCTTTTTTGTTCTCCTGTTTGTCCTCTCACCCAGCCCATTCTTCTCCTGTGTTAACTTCCAGGTTCCCCTTATTATTATAGTGCCGCCCCCCGGGGCTCCGCCCCTGCCGCTGCTGCCGCTGCCTATGACCGCCACTAGTTACCGCGGGGACCACATCAAGCTTCAGGCCGACAGCTTCGGCCTCCACATCGTCCCTGTCTGACCGCCCGCCCCGAAGGGAGGGAGGATCGACGCGACCCGAAGCCTCCCGGTCACCGCCCCAGACCCAACCCCCCTTCCAGGACCCCTCCAGCCCTTCACTTCACCCCGTCCAAGGCGGGACAGGACGAGTGAAGCCGCGGGCGGGACCCTCAGGCCCGGGCCCGCCGCCCCCAACCCCGCCCGCCGCCCCCTGGACTGCTGGACTGCGCCGCGTCGCGAGGAGGGCCCGACCCAGTTCGTCCCTGCCTCGCCCGAGCTGGCCCCGGAGCCCACCAGCCGCACCGCCGGACTCTGGCCGGGCCCGCAGCTGCGCGCGGGGGACACGCTTCTGTGACACACAATCAGCGCGGACTGCAGCCTGGCCCAGCCCCGGAGCAGCCCGCCTTGGACGCTCCGGTGAGCGCCAGGAGGCTTCGCTGGAGGGACTGGGCAAAGGAAATGAAGAACAAAACGATTTTCTGCAGAAGGAGGAAGAGCCTCCTGCGGAGACTTCGGGAAAATGTCCGAATCCCGGCTTCAGCCAGATAGCCCCCACCTTCTGAGTGTGCCCTGCCCAGAAGGTGGAATGGAATGGGGGCGTGGGGGCCGGGCTTCAGGGATGCGCTTTGGGGATCGTCAGGCGTTTCCAAGGTTGGGACCCAAGGCACACAGGCCCCAGCAGCCCGCACCCACCGAGTCCGACCCTTGGCTCTTCCCAACTCCACCTGAACTGCCCAGTTCCCAAGGGCCCAGGCAGCTCCTACTAGTGACCAGACTCTCAGCCCCCGCCTTGCCCCTACCTCGGCGTCTCTTCCATCTACCCACCTCGCAGCTCCCCCTCCTACCCGTCCTTTTCCGATCCCACGTCGCTCTTCATCTCTCCTCCCTAACTCGCCGCCCTCCCCTGAGGCTGCCCCCCGTGCCTGCCTCAGGACCAGTTTCTGCAGGCCGCGGCACTGGTCACCCCAAGCAGTTATCCGATGACCCCTGGCCCCCGCCCCGACACAGACTCAATCTGCCGGTGGTAGGAGCAGGATGTGAGCTGGCGTCTGAGCTGCGCGGAGTGGAAGGTGGGGGGCTGCCCACTCCACCCACCTCCATCCTCTTCCTCTGGCAGGAAGTGAACCGAACCGCAAAAAGTCAAGTCTACATTTATTTAATATGATGGTCTTTGCAAAAAGGAAAACAAAACACCCAACAGGCTGCTGCTTTGGAGAAAGACGGTGTGTGTCTTGTGAAGGCGAACCCACGTGTATATAACCCCGCCCCTCCCGCCCCGCCCCTCCCGGTAGAGTCCCAGGTGCCCGCCCGCCTTGCCTGTAGATAACGCCCCGCTGTCTGTGCTCTGAGAGTCGCCGCTCGCTGGGGGGGAGGGGGGAACACAGCTACAAGCCCACTAAAGCACAGCACGTCCTGGGGGAGGGGGGGGCTTTTTTTTATGTTACAAAAAATGACGAAAGAAAAGAAATCTCTATGCAAAATGACGAACATGGTCCTGTGGACTCCTCTCGCCTCTGTTTTGTTGGCTATTTCTCTGTAATTCCGTGTTTTCGCTCTCTCCTCCTCATCTCTCTTCTGCATCGCTCCCCTTTCCCGCTCTCGTTTCTGCTTCTCTCCGCCTCTGTCTCGGTCTCTCTGAGTCTTCGTCTCTCTCGTCTCTCTGTCTCTGTCCTTCCGTCGGCCTCTCTCCCCAGCCCTGCCCCGGCTGCCTTGCCCCTTGAGGCTAGATCAGAGGTGGCGGCTCCAGCCCCTAGGTTCGCCCCTCGCGCCCGTGTCCCGTGGGCTGTGGGCCGCCGGCGGCCGGGCCGCCCCGCCCCGTAGTTGCTCTCTCGGTAGCGGCGATGCGCCCTGCATGTCTCCTCACCCGTGGATCGTGACGACTCGAAATAACAGAAACAAAGTCAATAAAAGTGAAAAATAAATAAAAATCCTTGAACAAATCCGTAAAGGCTTGGAGTCCTCGCCCAGATCTCTCTCTCCTTCGAGCCTTTTTATTTGAAAAGGAAAACGTGAAAATAGTTAAGGGAACTGCCGATGCCCAGCCAGGCTCCAGTGGCCCAAGCGGGGCGGCGAGGGAGCCGAGGTTCAAACGCCGAGGCCCGGCCCATTCCAGTCCCTGCAGGGCTGGCGCGACAGGGGCCCAAACCCAGGACCCAGCCGAACCCTCGGAAGATCCCCGGATGGCCCCGGTCTCCTTGGCCACCTTCAGCGCGTTGGTTCGTTTTGATTCTTTTTCTTTTCTTTTCTGTGCACATGACAAATAAATAATAATAATAAATAATAATTAATAAATAATAATAAAATTTTGTATGTCACTCCCCATGGCTCCAAGTTTGTCTCTACCTGGTCTCTGGAACAGGCCTTCCCTCACACTAGTCGATCTCAAATAAACCCACAGTAATCCTCTCAGCTGCATTCCCTTTGCGACCCCTCTCCCATCGCTTTGCCCAGACCTACCGGCGCATCAGAAACCACCCTCCCCTGCCCACATCCCCACCCCCATCGGAGACCGTCTCTGCGTGGCAGGGAGATTGTTTGCTGTCCTGTCTCGTTCCACCGCTCCTCCGCGCAGCCGCAGTTTTTATCCCCAGTCCGCCTAGAGACCACAAACACTTGCCACCGGTTTTCTCGCTGCGCATTTGTTTCTTGGCCAGGACAGCATCCATTCCCACGGAGACCCGGGGGAACCTGCGGGCTCAAGCGACCTCGCGCGCCCCTTGGGTCTTGCGGAGTCCGCGCCTGGGCGAGCAGCCGCTAGGATCGGTGCGGTCTGGGTGTATCTTGAGGGCGCATGTTATGCAGTCGTTCGCCGGCTCCCATTTCTGTTGTTCTGCGTGGGTCTGTATGTTCCTGTGTCAGTCTAGGGGTAGGGAAGTGGGAGAACTGTTAGTTTTTTCAGACACCCTGACTGTTCTTGTGCCCAGGTGTCCAGTGAAGGCTGACTGTGTCTGTCCCTATGTCTCTCTATCCTGTTCAGGGGAGGGATGGAGTGATTGTCCAGCCTACTTCTGTTGTACTTGGAAGGGGTCTGCCCTCCATCCCTTCAGCAACCTCCCACGCCAGTCCTCCCACAAAGGCCACAGTCTCCACCTGGTCTCTGCCCTAGGATACTTTCCTTCTCTACCCCTGGGAACCTTCCCAGCTCAACTTCCATCTCTGCCTCCTCCCGCTTGAAATACTCTGGAAGTTCTGAGCTGCCAGGGGTGGCTGGGCAGCAGCAAGTGAGACCTGGAGGCAGACTAAGGAGTGAACTTTCCCATTGGCTGGGGACACTGTCTCCTACACCCCTACCTCCGATCAGGATTCCAACAGGCCTGTCTTTCCCCAGGCCTGTTTCCCCAGCCTGTTCACATCGTGATGCTGCAGGGCCCCCAACAAGTTATCCAGCCCCTAAGCAGTCAAGTCCATCCGCTTCCTTCTGCCTCACCACCTGTGTCTCCTCCCTAATCCCATATTAATAAATGACAGCCCCACCTTCCACTTGCCCCTACTGCTCCTTTTAATCACTGGTCTCTTAGAAGAATGGTCTTTAAACTCCTTTGATCATACATCCTAGCAGTAAAAAGAATTCTGAATTTGTACTCCTAATATATTTGTGCCTACGTGCTCAGTTGCTTCAGCAGTGTCTGACTGTTTGTGAACCTGTGGACTGCAGGCAAGGCTCCTCTGTCCATGGGATTCTCCAGGCAAGAATACTAGAGTGGGTTGCCATGCCCTCCTCCAGGGGATCTTCCTGACCCAGGGATCAAACCAGTTTCTCTTATGTCTTCTGCATTGGCAGGTGGGTTCTTTACCACTAGCGCCACCTGGGAAGCCCATAAGTATACTCACAAATTCCATACAAAACTCAACTAACATATTAAGAATCTTATAAAACATAAAATAGAAAAAGGATGAGACTGGAATACATAGAAATTCCAATGTTCTCTTCTCATGCCTAAGTGGATTATTTTGCACCCCCTGGAAAATGTTTACCCCACTTCAGAGAGCCTGCTCAGAACCCAAATCCAGTGTGGCAGAACTCCTGATTATTGTCTGAAGTCCAACAAGTGGATTCTGGACGTTGAACAGGGCAGTGGGTTGGCCCAGGCAATACCACATGCATCACATGGAGTGGTTCTCTGGCCCCCAATGCCTGGCTTTGCCTTCAGGTGCCCCAGAATGGGAGCCCTGTCCTGCTCAGGCCATCAGATTGGGAGCCAGCACCTCTCACCTGGGTCCTACCAGAACTTCTTACTTTCTGTTCTCTTTCTGGTCTCCTTCATACCAAATTGATTTTGAGGGTCTGCTGTCAACAGTGACCAACTATACCCAAAAAACTTTTATTCTGTGTCCCTCCAGTGGAATATTCCCTCCTAGAATCAGCCTGAGGGGCCCAAAACATGCTGTACAATCCTTGAGCAGTCGCCTGTTCTAAATGCTGTCCTAAACACAAACAGGACCTGTTCCCCAGCTCTGCTGTTCATCAGAACTCACCTAATTCTGACTCTGCTAGCCCTGTTCCCACCCTACTCCCACAGAGTTCCTAGCTGAGGTTCACCAAATATGACAGAAACTGTCCTGGGTTGAGGAAACAATAGTAGCGAAGACATGGAGGCATGCAAATATACCAGATGAAATGGGCCGGGGTATCAGCTGCCTGGGGAAAGACAGAAGGGGTTGGGAGAGGAGGCAACAGATGAAACTTAAAAGTGATTGAAAGTCAGGACACTAGAAATGTCCAAATGGTATCCATCACTCGTGGCTTCTTTAAGGAAGCTGTCCCGCTCACAGCCCACCCTGACCATGTATCCACCAATGATTGTACTAGAATTGGACCCATACACAAAACTGAGCTGGGCCGATCAATCCACTCTCTCAGGACACAAAATTAGGAGGAACAGAGAGAATAAGTCCATTTGACCATGATAGTCAAGGTCCAGTGGAGACTGGGGGATTCCACAGTCCTTTATTTTATTTATTTATTTTATTTTTGGCTGTGCTGGGTCTTCAGTGCTGCACAGGCTCTTCTCTAGTTGCAAAGAGCACGGACTACTTTCCAGTTGTGGTGCTCAAGCTTCTCATTAAAGTGGCTTCTCCAGTTGCGGAGCATGGGCTCCAGGGCTCATGGGCTTCAGCAGTTGTGTCACGTGGGCTCAGAAGTTGCAGCTCCGGAGCTCTAGAGCCCAGGGTCAATAGTTATGGCCCACAGGTTTAGCTGCTCCTCGGCACGTGGGATCTTCCCGAACCGGGGATTGAACTCATGCCTCCCACATTGACAGGCAGATTCTTTTACCACTGGCCATCAGGGAAGCCCTCTCTAGTCCTCTCATCTCAGTCAAGGACAACTCCATTCTACCAGTCACTCAAGCCAAAACCTCAAATCTTCCCCGACTGCTCCTGTCTCTCCCATCCCCTATCTGATCCACCAGCAAAATCAGACAGCTTTTCCTTTAAAATAGATCCAGGGACTTCCCTGGAAGTCCAGTGGTTAAAACTACTCACTTCCACTGCAGGGAGCTCAGGTTTGATCCCTGGTCAGAGAACTAAGATCACATGCAGCACAGTGCAGCCAAAGGGGAGAAAAAAACAACAACAGATAACAGAATTTGACCATTTCTGATGATCTGCACTGTACCATTCCGGTCTAAGCCAGTATGACCCTTCACCTTGAATTGCAAAAAAAAAAAATTGGCTTTCTTGTTTCCATCTTTACCTCACCCACTCCCACTCCAGTCTACTCTCCCATCAGCAGAGTGATCCCCCAAAGTGGAGAGCAGAGCATGCTCTTTCTCTGCTCAGAGCGCCCCCCCCCCCCACAATGATTCCCCTTCTCCCTCTGAGCCAAAGTCAGAATCTTAAATCTGATCTATAAGGCCCTACATGTTCTGGCTGTCCACTCTGTCCCCACGACCACCACCCCCAGCTCACTGTGCTCTGAGCCTGCTGGCCTCTGTGCTGTGCTTCACTTACATCAAGCATGAGCCTTCTCAAGACATCAAGACATTTGCTCTCAATGTGCCCCAAGCAGTCCCATGACTAGCTCCCCACTTCTTTAAAGTCTCTACACCCCCATCCCATTTGAAACTGTCCCTCCCCCATCCTGTGTAGTTCTTATGAGACTGTCAGTCAAAATACCCCGTGAGCTCCTGACCGTAGATGTGGGCCTGAGACCTATGTCTGTCCAATGGGGCCCCCCCATCCCTGTTCAAAACACCTCAAGGTAGGAAGAGTCCTCTCAGAAGTCTTGTTATTGGAGCTGGAAGAGAGAGAGTCCCTTCTTTCTTTGGGCAGTGAGCTGCAATGATGAGGGCTTTGGATCTCTAGGGACAGTTCCCCACCACGTGGAGAGTCCCTGCCTGAAAGTGCAGTGCAGACACACTCAAGAGTCAGGCTGGGACACTCAGAGCTGAGAGGCAGACCAAAGGAGAGCTGTGCTGGTATCATTCGAGCCTCTGGAGCCAGTTAGGCCTGAAGCAGGGCCACTTTGGCACTTCCAGGGTCCTAAACCAGCACCTTCTCCTTTTTATCACTTAAGCAAATATGTTGAGTGTCTGCCAATTGTAACCCAAAAGTTCTGAGTTAAATAGTTCTGGGGGGCACTAATATCCTGTTAAGAACTTCGGACTTTTTTGCTGTAGGCATTGAGAGTCATGGAAAGTTTTTGAGCAAGAGACAGTGGTATAATAGACCTGCATTTTTGGAGACGCTCTCTGTCCATAACATAAGGAATGGGATACAAAGAGAGACAGCGGGCACGGGGAGGCCTGTACAAACCCACCACAGTGGTCCAGGCAGGAGATGATGGAGGCCACACTAACGATTAGCCCCACGAGGACACCAACATGGAGATGTACAAGATTAGAGTTTTAAGTAAAAGAAGAAAAGTGCTAAATAATGGACACCCTGTTTAAGAAAGAAGGAAAATAAAGACTTTATCACATTTGCTTATATATATGAAAACACTGGAAAGATAATTAGTAATCTAATAAAAATGGTTGTCTCTGAGCAGGGAGCAGGGTGGATGGGTGACTAGGTAAGGGTGAGATTTCTGTGAGTGTGCTTTTCTAAATGTAATTTTGAGTTTCAAAAAATTAAAACAAAAGTAGAGAGACTACCATATCCTTGATACATATAAGCATAATTGCTCAATGAATAAACTAGATTTTGCTTTTTGTTGTTGTTGTATGATTGAGGGAAAGGCCATTGGATTTGGTGAACAGGGGCCACCTGGTGACCAGCAGCTGGTGCTTTCTGAAGGTGGGGGGGTAGCTAAGACCTGGGGGAGGGGTAGCTAAGAACTGGGGAAGCAGATGGAGGCAGAGTGTAAACAATT